GGGGGGGGGGGGGGGGGGTAGTCTCCTTTAATAGTACTCTACCCGGTTTAATCTATCATAGTAGTCACCACCTGAGATCCCATCGTTTATGATCCCGATTCACTTAAGGTTCTGTTGTTTAAAAAAGAAAGAAAGGAAAGGAAACAACCCCCCAAAAACAACAAATTTTACGACATAAAAGTCATCTCAAAGATCCCACTCTGGAGTCTGAAGTTCCCGCATTTTAGATCATTCTTTACTGAACAAAAACACCTTCATATTATAGATCACCCACACCCACACATACGATCACATCTCCGCTCTAAATTCCTCGACAAGTGGTACAATGTCCGTCTCAGGCATAGGGGCCTTACAATTTTAAAGGATCACACCCAGATGTGAAGTTTTCGACGCCTTTGATTTCTCTGGTCATGGAACTTCAGCAAGGCATGATTCGGTAGGCAGGGCTGACAGGGCCGCATCAGATGGAATCACATCAAACTGTGATTTCATCTATGCTTTTGTTTCCCTGATCTATCAGGTGTGTATCCGAATTTGCTAAATTTTAATAAACTTTGCGCCCGTACCCTGGGACTGTCCGATCGCCTTTGTCTTTGCGTAATGTTGAGCCAAACTTTCATTCTTCGAATTTTAATTGGCGCGTTTACAACACAATGGTGAGTTATATGCCCTGAATATGATCCGGTGATTTCAGTCAGAGCTGAAGGAAAGCAGTAAATACTTGACAGACAGGTAAAAGGGAGGAGCCATGAGTGCGATAACGCTTTAGTATTATTAAATAAAAGGCTGAACCAAACGACACAAGCTACATTGTAATTAAGACTGTAGTATTTGCGTATCAATACAGTTTGTAAATTTGTATCCCATTTTAAAAGACAAAGGGTACTGTTAGTCTTACTGTTACCTTTTCAATAGTTAAAACCATTGCACTTCGTTTAATAGAAAAAAAAGGAAACAAAATTATTGTTCTTAATAGTTCATAGATAAAGGCATCATTGTTAACATTCAGTTAAACATGATTTTGACTCGTTTTGCTCTATAATGTTCTTGTGTGGAGGCATTGGCTTTCTTTAGTGAAGGCCATGTGTACCTGGTCTATGCTTTCTAGACCTAAGGCAACGTATTAAAGTCCTTTACGTTCATTATAACACATGAAAGCTAGTAATGGCACTCCCCTTGAATCATGCAATCATTGTGTCAAATTCAATACATGTACTTTGTTTCTTACTACTGGCATGTTTTAAAAACTAATTCTTTCAGCAGGATCTGTAAGATTTACTCTCCTGTCGGTTTAATAATCTTCCGTTACTCTGCAAGACAGCAGGGATTTTTTTTGTTTGTGTGTGTATTTTTTTTTGTGTGTGTGTGTGTG